CGGGGCGGCGCCGCCGCCATGTTGAGTGTGGCGGCCCCCGAGGGGGTCTCTCCTCGCCCCGCTGTCACACTCGCGACGCGGTCGCCTCGGGGGGCGGCCGGGGGCGGCGGCGCGGCCGAGCTCAGCCCCGGAGCGCCCCGCCGGGCCGGGGTCCCCGCCGGCGACACACTGGGCATGGCGGCTGCAGCGCGCCGGGCGATGGCTGCCATGGTTAGTGCGCCATGGCGGCGCGGGCGGCCGCCGCCGGGGTGCAGCGACAGGGGCCTGTGGTCCCCTCAGAGTGTCCCGCCAGTGTCCGCCCCCCGTGTCCTCCCCTCAGAGTGACTGCCACTGACCCCAGTGACATGGGGCCATGGTCTCCTCAGGCGTCCTCACAGTGTCCTCCTGTGAAATGGGGGCAATGGTCTCCGGGCACCCGTGGATGTCCCCTAGGGATATGGGGGACATGTCCTCAGAGCTCTCCTGATATTCCAAGTGACAAGGGGCTGTAGTCCCCTCAGAGTGTCCCGCCAGTGTCCACCCATGATATGAGGGCCATGGTCTCCTTAGAGCACCTGCCGATGTAACCCAGCAACGTGGGGGCCATGGTCTCCTCAGAGCCCTCAGTGATATTCCAAGTGACAAGGGGCCACGGTCTCCTCAGAGCCACTGCTTGTGTCACCAGTGACATGGAGACCGTGTCAGTCCTGTCACTCCATGTCTCCTCATAGCCCTTGACAGTGTCCCTAAGCAACATGGGGACCATGGTCTSCTCAGAGTGTCCTGCCATCATCCTCTCCATGATATGTGGGCTGTGGTCTCCTCAGAGCAACCACCAGTGTTACAGAGATGTGGTCTGCAAAGAAGCCCCATCAAGTATCCCCTCATAATATGGGGACCATGGTCTTCTCAGAGCCACCGCTTGTGTCCCCAGTGACACGGGAACATGGTTTCYTCAGCGTGCTCTGCGATTGCTCAACAACATCCACTATCTTATCATACAAGGTTATCAGRTCAGTCTGAGGTGATTTCCCCTTTGCAAAGCCATGCTATTTGTTGTCCTTCACAAGTTCAGGAATGACCTCCAGGAAGATTTGCACCATCACCTTCCCCAGGATCATCCCACTCATCTCCAGGGCCTGGGATTTGACTGGCAAGTCTTACCAGTGAAAAGCAAGGCGGAGAAGACAGTGAGTATCCCGAACCTTTTCCATGCCTCTTGTCACCAGCCTTCTTTGTCCACCTGCAACCCAAAACACGTTCTCTTGAGCCTTGTGCCCCAATGGGGAGGTGCAAGTTCCATGATTTACCCTCTAGAAGCCTTCCACACACGCAAACGTGAGGTTGAGGAAGCTGTTGCAAAGTTTACATTCAATGAATAAGATTTCAGAGCCAGATAGGTGATCCAAAWTTTGCTTTAATATATAAAGCCCACCACCTAATCATGTGGAATTTGTCAAGAGTTGATAAGATTGCAAACAAATTTCGTTGCAAGCCAAGTTTACTTGCATTCATATTGCAGATACTGTTGCTTAATTAAAAATATCCAACTGTTTCTGCCTTTAGCAGCTTTCTGACACAAGCTGTTGATTTTAGATAGAAAAATGCAGCTGCCTTCTCAGCTTAACTCAGGTATGTTCTAGGCAGCATGTTTTGAAATGCAGGGATGCTTTTGCRGCAGTGGTACAATATAATCCATGGATGCAATTCAGCTTCTGCTGCTGAAGATGCAGAAGCTGCATCTGGCAGTGTTCTTAGCAAAATGAGAATACCGGGAGGTGATGTGAATTCTAAACACTTTAGACATTACTAGGATTCTTAGGTCTGTTGGGATGCATTAAAGTTACAGTGATGCCATGTTCATGCTATGGAATGAGGGTTCATTACATAATTTTATGATTCAGGGTCAAACATTTCCGGTAGCCATATAAGTATAGGATGAGGTCATTGAAGATGTGACTAACTAGGGGAAAGAAACAGCCTTGAGATCTATGTATGAATGCTCCAAGCATCGCATCAATGTCCAGAGACGGCAGGCGAGACACAGTGGATTATTACCAGAGGAGGTCTGACACATTCAAAACTCAAATTAATTAGATGTTTTATTGTTTTATATACGTTTATGCTTGATTTCTCTGCGCACTTACTGAAGATCTCCATTTAAGGGACAGCTTTCAACAGTGGCCCAAGAGAGATACCAGTTAGCTCCAGTACTAATATCTAGGAGCTGTTTCTCAGACGTGCTGCTCAGCCCAACCGTCCGTTTCAACAGAACTTAATTCTTCCTTATTTCAGTTACTGCCTTTTCGAAGGCATTCACTGGCACGAGGAATTTTCTCAGAATTTCCATACCTCGGGCATTCCTAGGCTCCTATGGCTGCACACAGGAGGACAAGCACCGATGAAACCCCTTAGCATTTTCATCAGCACGTGCAGGTGAGCCCCGATGGTCGACCTGACAATACCGAGCGCAACGTGTACGCGGTTTCCATCTATGCAACCAACTGTGAGCAGAGCTGCAGCTCACCCTGAAAGCATCCATATGGTGCCTAGGAAGAGTCACAATCAGAGTATCTGCTGACAGGCTGGGCTATCACATGTTCAGCTCATGAATAATCTCCAGAGACTGTGAGAAGGAAAACTTAGATCCTCACTGAGACTCCCTTGACCTTTCCCTCCTCATCTCAGCTTTAGCCTGTGCCTACGTGTCGACAGCACAGACAGGCAGYGAGTCTGGATTTGAGAGAGGTGTTAGGCACAGTTGGAATGGCAGCATGGATATAGCCTTTGGGACCAGCTCTGCCCAAACACAGTGCCACGATGCTAGTGAGAAATGACTGCCTTTGAAATCACAAATGCAGTTGCTTCAGCTTTGCAGCTTGCATTCRAACAGAGTCCTTTAAAAAACTAGCCCACCAAGCATTTTTACTAAAAGGTCTTRAAACACTTTAGAAAGCATTTGGTCTGGAGAAGGGAAGACGTAACTGGAAGGAGATATTAAGTAGTCTTCAAATATGCAGAAGGCTGCTGCAAAGCAGGAGGGAATTAGCTCTTCTCTGCACGCCCTGAGCCTAGGACAAGAAATAATGAGCTTACATCTTGCAAAAGGAAATACAGGTTAAACGGTGGGTTGGTGACAGGAGTAGCTGAGCACCGAAACAAATTGTCTAGAAAATATGGATGTGACTGTTCAGCATTGGACATTTAAAAAAATAAATCAATCATCTCTCTGAACAGTTTATAAGGAATTGATCTTATCCCGGGAAGGAGGATGGAGTAAATAATCTCTTGCAATACCTCTCAGCCGTATTTTCTCGCAGAGCGATTTGCCTAAACTTCCAAAGCAGGTCAAAGCCTGAGCTAGGGCTGGATTTCAGTCCTGATCCTCACGTCTGTGCCCTATCCAGCAGGCTAAACCAATGCTTAAATCTGGACCAAAAAAAAAAAAAAAAAAAAAAACTGAGTTTTCACATTCACAATCAAAATTCTAAGATATCCTCCCATTTCTCTGGTAAAAAAAGAACATGGAAAAGGTTTTTTAAAGAGTATATGCCAAGCTGTCCCTCTGCAGCGCCACACTCCTCCCAGAAAGCAGCACTTTAGTGTCCAGGGCTCTTAGCTCAGCAGCTGTCACCAGTATTAAATTTACTACATCAGGAGAGAAAAAAAAGCCATAAAATTAAAGTGAAAGATTCTGTACTGAGAGTAACTTGCATTCTCACTTGAATCATTTTTCCCCTCAATTATTTTCTCATTAATTGTTTTTATTGACCTAGTTCAGTTAAAGACCAAGGTGGGCTTTGATTATTTGAATATAGTGTACAATAAGTACCCACCAATTATAACAGTTCTTTTCCGTTTGTTTTTTTTTTGTGTTTTTTTTTTTCAGATAGAATAGTATTGCAGTGAATTCTTTGCAGTTACTCAAAATAGTTCTGTTAAGAGGTTTTCATCTTAAAATTACCTTAAGTCTGTCCTTTGAGGGTAATCCTATACTTCAGCTTTTTTTGTGGAAGTCACCTTTTGCTGTAGGAGACCTTTACCAAGAAATTATGGAGAAGGCAAAATATTTTTGTGGAGATATAAAAGCATAATTTGAGAAAAGCAAAACTAATGAAGCTACCTCACTGAGCAGGCTTTTGTCTGAGATTTAAYAAGATCTCTTAGCAGGAACAGCAAGTTTCCCCCTTTTCCCTCTGGCCACGTATTTCACAAGCCTTATTGGAACCAAACACCTTTGAGATCACTGCTCAGATGGCTTTTTTGAGGGTAAATCCAAACACGCACATGCTATGGTCATAAAAACATCATTTTCTTACAACACCGGGCTAAAAAACTTCCTGTGCTCCCCTAAAAGAAGGATTGCACAAGCCCTCATTGCTCCATAACCCTGACTTGAGCTGCTGCTGCTGTCCCAGCAAACATTTCTTGGCATTTGCATCAGATTTTACATGGAAAATGTTTGTTTCATAAGGAAACACAGTAAATCAGTTGGTGCAAGGAGCAATATCTTACGTTTACGCACTACCTTGCGCTCAAGAAGATCCATAATGTCTTGGCAAGCAGATACTGCGGTGCGAAAGGAGGAGCGCAGCAGGGTGGGATAGCGCAGCATGCGACAAAAGCTTCCCCTGATTTTTAATACTCCTGGAATTAAGGGATCTCTAAACATTTTGAGATGTCAGCTGAGCATTACATAGCCCGCAGCTTCCCAAAACAACCTCTGTATTTACACARTGAGAAACTGAGGCACTCGGGCTGGACCGTGGCCAAGGCAGGAAGAACAGCAGGCTCCTCTTGGGAACGCGCCATAAAGTCTGCAGCGACCCCAGGCAGTCACGGCCACAGCTCATCATTAGACTGGCTACTACCTCATGACAAGGACACGATGTGGGGTAT